ACAAGGGCATGTAGTGACAGGACAAGGGGTAATGGCTTTAAATTGAAAGATAGGAGATTTAGATTAGATACAAGAAATAAATTCTTCACCATGAGGGTGGTGAGGCCCTGGCCCAGGTTCCCCAGAGAAGCTGTGGCTGCCCCCTCCCTGGCAGTGTTCAAGGCCAGGTTGGATGGAGCTCTGAGCAGCCTGGTCTGGTGGAAGGTGTCCCTGCCCATGGCAGGGGGGTTGGAACTGGGTGATCTTTAAGGTCGCTTCCAACCCAAACCATTCTGATTCTGTTACTGTAACAGTCCTTTGTAGACTGTTTTCACGTTATTGGTAGGACACAGGAGCGTATATCCATCCAGTTCTTAAATAGCTGATCTATCCTGTCAGACACAGTGGAATTTGAGACTGAAGAGTGTAGGTAAGGATGGATGGTCTAAGGGCAACAGCACTGGACTGTGTGTGGAAATCACTTGACTTTTTCCCACTGGGTTTTTCAGGTGACAAGGTCAGTAATTTCTAGATATATACCAGCACCACTTCAAGCAAAACGTTTTGAGAATTAGTAATGACAGAAGTTTTTTTGTTGGATGAGGAACTAGACTGTCCTCTGCTATTTTTGAATTATTGATCTTAATCGACTTTCTAAAGAAAAAATAAGCTTAAGCTTTGTGTTCCTCTAAATTCTGAAGTGTTGAATAGTGAAATGGCTCTTTCTTTGGAGTACCAAGTAAGAACAGTATCATGAAGGACTAATCTCACTAACTTTGGAAGGATGTATCTAGAATGTTGAGATAAAACTTGTGTGGAAATAAGTGGCCTGTCAATTCATAGTTTCTTTTACCAGAAGAATTGATGTTTATACTTTATCTTTAATATTTTGCCACCGGATTTAAAAATATTTGGAGTGTGCCAAAACAATCTGAGAGCATATTCAAAATAGTAAAATGTGGTTTTGATGTGTTGATTTTAATAAATGTTAACACAAATTTGAAACTCTTTACTTTTTCTGTCTGTAGTTGTTATAAAGTTATCTGCATATATGGATAAATGATACCTTTCCTTCTCTATTGTGGGAGGAGGGATTAAAAGTATCTAGGAGGAAAAAGACCTCAAATTTTGGTTAACGCGCATCAGTATGCGTTCTTTGTGCTTCAGTACGGTCGGTATGACAGTGCTGGAAATTTTGGCCTGTGATAGGGAATTGTAGGTGAAGGTGATATTACAAGTAACTGTAGAGAATGCAGCAAAGTGAAATTGGTGAGGGGTTTTCTTTGTTTATTTATGTGTAATTCTGAGTGCATTTCCAGAAAACTTAAAGGTTTTTTCAGAGTAAATATTAACTTTAATGCTTCTGAATTTAAAAGGAATTGTATAGTCCTGCTGTTTTCTTAAAACATTTGTACAAAATATCTTTAACCTCCCGCCAGCCACATCAATATGTTATATTTTTTTAGAAGAAAAAATGGACAGTTTTAAGTAGTCTAGTTGTATTATTAAAAAGAAAGAAGAATGTATGAGTTGTCATACTGGAAAAAATGCTCATGTATTAGTTTGAGGACTATGGCATTACCCAGTGTTGGAATCCACAGATTTGGGGTTGTTTTCTTCCTTTGAAATTCATTTAGATATAGAAAAGTCCTTTTAGATCATATACTCTTATGAGTCATTTGAATTACACTATTTTGTAACCTTTAAAACCCTTATATAGAAAAAAGTCACTTCCCCTCCGATGAAATGTTTATTGAAATAATTTGTTGAAGATGTTTAACCATTGAATGTCCTGGTGTTCTTTCTGTTTAGAAGATTACTGTTTTCAAAGCTTCTGTCATACAATTTTCTGGATTTTTAAAAACTGTTCTTCCTCCTTTTGAAATGCAGTTCTGTTGTGGAAATTCATTTCCACATGGGCTTTTAAGAAAACGTTTTGTGGCTGTTATTTCAGATAGGTTCTTTTACGATCTTTGACTTCCAGATTTTTATATTAGCCCGTTGTATCTGTTTGGGTATTTCCATCTGGAATTTTTTCCTTGTAGAGTATAGGTTTTATCACAGATTCATATTTTGACAGTTATGTTAAGGGGGAAGGAAGCAAATTTGTATGCCATTGACAATAACATTCTCTCCTGAAGTTGCTTCTCATCTTTGACTTGCCACTGCTTTGTCTGGTTAGGTTAGTTTCTCCCCTACAATTCATTTATGTTTTTCATTTATTTGGGCATCTCACTTAAGCAGGGAAGAAATCCTGCCATACATGTAACTCGTGCTTTCTACGCTCAGTTGTCCTTGTTAAGCATTATCTGATTCTAGAGTCAGTTGCACGAGTTTTGTAACTGTGAAACGTACATTTACAGGACAGTAGTCTGAGTGTAGAAACATAAGCTTTTTATTTTATAATACATATTTGTCACTGTCAATTTCATTGTAATAAATTATGTTCCTGTGTTTGTAGAAATAATTTATGAAGTGTACATCTGAACACTGTCTATGATAATGGAAAGTAATTGCAGATGGACACTCTGCTTAAGTGCTCTGGGAACAGAGCCAAAGATCTCCTGCATACTGAAAGAGAGGAAAGTCTATTTGATCATCACTTTTAAGGAGACATCATTTTGGGAATAAAATTCTTAGTGTTTAGTTTAGTACCTTTTGTTGTAATGGTCTTCACAGTTAGCATTGGGTTAAGGTATGTTTAAAAAAATGTCTTGCCTGCAGCTGGTGGTAAAGCAGCTACATGTTAACGGGTTGATCATATAGAAGGGAGGACCAATGTATTGCAGTGAAATCCTAGTGAGGCTTGCAAACATAGTATTGATAAATGTCCCGCATATTGGCTTGATGTGCAGGAATAGCCCTTGAAAATTAATTGGCATTTAAACAAACTTGTAAATAAAAATTGAGAAGTGTTTTAAAAGTGCAAAAGGAACATATTTTGAAAACAAAATAGCTATTCTGAATCATATATGAATAGTAAAATTGACTTTCAGCTTCCCTGTTGCAGAGTACTTTCTTGTATTAATATAGCCAGTATCAAATAAGATACTGTAGTGAAATCTGTGTTTACATTTGAAAATTGGAAACTATATAAACAGAGTTGATAGTAAGTATAAAATTGTTTCACATATTTTAAAAACTAATTCTTCCTGCAGACTTAATATTGAGTCACTGAAAGGTCCACATTGACATATCATTTGGAAATAAGGTATTCCATACTCTGGCAGCGTAAGAAAGACTATTCCTTTTACAGTTCTCAGGTAGCAGGGGTGCATATCAGGGGTGAAGAATAGACTTGGGGAACTGCCTAGAAAGTAATTGAGAGAAAGCTGTAACACTTGCAAATCCAGGTGCTGATATGTTATCAAACCTGTTTGGAAAACTTGTTGAATAGGAGAAATAGAATAAAAATCATTGTGTAGATAGAGGGCAGTTCATCTGGTTGTGTTCCGTTTAGGAAGCGTCTTGAAGAGAATGTAATACCTAGAACATACCGAAAGTGTAATCAGTCCAGTTATCACGGAAGTCTAGTAGCATTGGCTTTAACCTGACTGTTGAAAATACTAGTTATTAACTATGGAGATGCCATTTTTGTTTCAGATCGAGCCTCGAGAGATAGCAGAAAGCAGCTTTTGGGTAAAAGCTGAAGAAGATAAATTTGAAAACCCAGAACTGCTTGCAAAATTGGCACTTACCTTTGGAACACAAATGAAAGGTACGTTCTTCTCTTACTTTGTGTTATGGTTTTATCAAGTTTAAAACTGTGCAGTGACAGTCTCTTTTATGCTTTTTGCAATACTGTGGAATTCATATAATGGTTTTATAGCAGGAAGAGGATTTAAAACATGTTTTTATTAAGCATAGTAGTCTATCACGAGAATTGCTCCTCCCTCATTTTACAGCATGAGGGGAGGAATCTTTTGTAATAATACCTCTTAAAAGGGCAGGGTAGGTTGCAGACAGATGTGAGTTTTCTTCAGGTGAAATTATAATTAAATTTAAATTCTAACCCTAAAATCATGCTCATTTGCATTAATATTCCTAGCCGCAGGAACTGTAAGTTGTCAGGTTCTTTTAGGTATTCCACACATGGAGGGTTTGATGCATAACAAAGATTTACTTGCTTCTATCTCTGCTAAGTCAAAACCCTGTAGCAATTACAATAAGCAGTTGAATCACAAAATCTATAATATGCCTGCAGTCATGATTCTGCAATATGTGGGTTGAAACCGTCGTTCTTTTCAAAGTTATTGTGTTTGTGTCCTTAATCTTTACTTTCACTTCCACCCCCACCCCTCTTTTTGAGTACTGTATGCAGCCCTCACTTGAAAAGTCTTAAATACTAATCAAAGGAGTGTATTTAAAATTTGTGTTGCGTAACCTAAGAAGCACACCACACCCCTCCCCCCCAAAGTTATATACAGTTAAACTGCGTTGTTACTGTCATTAGTGGATGAGGTAAGGTAGTTTTCAAAGGATTGAATGTGTGAGTGCACACTTTTAAAACTGTTTGCACAATATCATGGGAAAATATCAGATCAGATGGTCTACTGATTTTTGTTGGGACACAGTGTGAGATGGATCTCTTCACTCTGACGAGTGAAGTCCCTCAGGGGTCCGTACTGGGACTGGCGCTGTTCAATGTATTTATCAATGACATGGACGGCGACATCGAGCGTACCCTCAGCAAGTTTGCAGATGACACCAAGCTGAGTGGTACGGTTGATACACCAGAAGGACGGGATGCCATCCAGAGGGACCTGGACAAGCTGGAGAGGTGGGCCTGTGTGAACCTCATGAGGTTCAACAAGGCCAAGTGCAAGGTCCTACGCCTGGGTCGGGGTAATCCCCGGTACCAATACAGGCTGGGGGATGAAAGGATCGAGAGCAGGCCTGCTGAGAGGGACTTGGGGGTACTGATAGACGAAAGGCTGGACATGAGCCGGCAATGTGCGCTGGCAGCCCAGAGGGCCAACCGTGTCCTGGGCCCCATCAAGAGAAGCGTGGCCAGCAGGTCGAGAGAGGTGATTCTGCCCTTCTACTCTGCTCTGGTGAGACCTCACCTGGAGTACTGCCTTCAGCTCTGGAGCCGTCAGCACAAGAAGCCTTTCAGTACTTAAAGGGAGCCTATAGGAAAGATGGGGACAATCTTTTTAGTAGAGACAGCAGTGACAGGACGAGGGGTAATGGTTTTAAACTAAAACAAGGTAGGTTTAGACTGGATATAAGGAAGAAATTCTTTACAATGAGGGTGGTGAAACACTGGAACGGGTTGCCCAGAGAGGTAGTGGAGGCCCCATCCCTGGAAACATTCAAGACCAGGTTGCACAGGGCTCTGAGCAACCTGCTCTAGTTAGCGGTGTCCCTGCTCGCTGCGGGGGGGTTGGACTAGATGACCTCTAGGGGTCCCTTCCAACCCAAAACTTTCTATGATTCTATGATTCTGTGATTCTTGGACTACTAGAGAGAACAATACAGTGAGACTAAAAACTATGCTGGAGCTTTCTGTGGAGTGTAACTGAGGCTGCCCAGTATGTCATGTAAATTGTGCTTTTGCTATTGGTTTTAGATTAAAAATATCATGAATTTCTCAATTCCTTCAATAGGAGATATGATAGTATTTATATCTTCAGTTGGGAATGTAGTGACTAACAACTGAATATTGGTTATGATTTTGATACTTTAATACCATCTGCAGCTCTTAGTAGCTTTCAGATGGTCCCTGAGTACTTCTGAAGCTGCACACAGCTTCTTGCCACAGCCAAGACAAGTTTTTTCATTATTATCCATGCTTAACAGTCAATTGATCAGTATTTTACATGTGGCTGTTTAATGGTAATTTGTTTCAGGCACTGAAAAGAAGCAAGTGCTGCTGAAGTATGGTTCAGTAATAACCTACTCAGGAGCTAATGAGGAAACCCAACAAATTAGAGTCCAATAAGTGGTAGATACTGAAAGAATGAATTCCTGAGGTAGCCAGAAGTCTTTTGTCCATTTATCGACCAGTTAAATATGAGACTTCAGGGATATGCAATTCTTGAAGGTGGGTAGAGTCAGGTGCATCAAGCATTTATAGGCTGAATCTGAATAAGCAAGCACACACTTCGATTTTTAAAGTGAATGTGTGTACTGACTTGTAAGCGTTTTTGTGCTGCTTGTTTTCTTACTTTTAAGTTTTTGGCTTTGAGAATTAACACTTCATGTGATGCTTTGTATTTTAACCATAGGGAATCTTCTGTTTTAATTTGATCCACTAGAATGCTCCCACTTCTGTCAATTACTTCAGGATTTTTATTACTTCAAAATTACGTTGTATTGCACATAGAGGTTTGTGGTATCCTGGCTGTTGCCTGAATTTCAGGAGTAAGAACTGCAGTTTATACTAATACAGTGTTTGGAAAGTTAACGTGGGTTAAGGAAGGTCTGTTGGAGGACCAGAACATTTCTGAACCATTTGTTGAGTAGGTTCCTTGAGTTATTTCTGAATATGTGTTTTTGTGCTCTTTTGAAACCCCTTCCAAGAGTTAGTCATAGCTGTGTTTTTCCTAAGATAAATATACAGTTCTTTCATTCAGAGCTCTTGCTCTTTTCACTCACTCTTTTCAGTAGTCACTAAACCTGAGCCATTAGTGTTTTGCTTTTACAGTGCTTCCCACTTTCTGCTGTAAATGTTTGGCTGTTACATGTAGTAATACAAAAGCATCATCTGCAGTAATTTAACACTTTTTTCCGTACCAAAGTTTGATAGATTCTTGGTTCATAGCAGTGCAGTGAGGCTAAAATGATGTGGGGTTTGTCACTGGTTGTAATGTGACAGCAAGACAGGAAATCCTTTAAGGGAAAGAACTGGTAACAGCAGATAACACTTACAGTGGAATGAGGCCCTGCTTAATGAAAATGACAAGCTTCTGCCTTGAGCTGAATTGTTTCATCAGAAATCTGCAGAAATGCTGCTGAATTCCTGAAAAGCTGCTTCATTAGAAATACTGAAAAAACCCTCATGAAACTTTGACATAGCTGTGGGTTTCATATGAGAGGAAATTCTTGTTGTCGTAGTTGTGGAGTTCTGAAACTACAAACAACAGAAATTCCCTAAAGAGCTTACTGTGGTGATAGCCTTGCAGATATTTTTCCTGTTCTTCCTTATGTTGTTCTCAGTTAATGGTTGTAGAAAATAACACGCCATAACAAAGATGGGAAGACTGTTAAAAATGCTACTTCATATTACCCAGGAACATTAAAATCTTATTTGGCTGATTAGTAGGG